ACTGAAACTTCTCCAACAAATATAACTCTTTATAAAACGCTATTCCTCTGAATTTAATACAATTTGCAGAGAGACGCGATATGTTCTTAATGAAATACATGTATCTGCAAGTCTGTTTTAAATTCTGCATCCCGTGGCGCGGGATTTAATCGTCGCATCCGGACATAGAAGGAACGAGGCTTCAGCTGTCGGCGTTGAATTCGACCTTGTATGTCAAGGCGAAGGCCGAAGGGGAATTCCCTCTCTCCCGACACTGAGCCTGGGAAGTTGTATGGGAAAGGCTTCTATTCATGCGTCTCCCTGCCTCGCGTTGAAAACCATAACCCCTCGAAGAGATACGAATTGCTGAAGGTCATGCAAGGATATGAGAAAGTTTGATGCCACTGGGTTGTGACGCATTGTGCGTTGAAAGTCAGCTAGCTGTCCGAATACAGCCAGTAAGGTGTGTAATTTACTCATTAATGGCGATTTCTTCCCTAATTAGGTTCTATGTTAAGGTATTTTGATAATTATAATGAAGTCAAGTAATTTACTACTTTTAGGGCAGAAAATTCAACACCACAAGTGGCGTAAAATGGACAACCTCACATAAAACGGAAACTTTCCTAAACCGGAATTGTTTTGTGTCCGGGTCGATTCCGGCTTAGACAGTTGTTACCGCAGTAACCTTCCTTCGGCGCCGCCGTCTATTGGCGGGACTGGAGGCTGGAGGGCGCGCGCGCGCGTGTTTAGTGGCTGCGCGACGCGTGGACGGAGTGCGAGGGCGCCGGCAGCGGCTGGGCGCTGGAGGAGCTGTCCCACTCGCAGCACCCGGTCGACGTGTTCGAGCACGTGCGCCTGCTGGGCTCCGTCACCATCGTCCCCGACGACGGCGACGCCGCCGCGCCCGCGCCCACCCACGCCCCTGCGACCGCCCGCGCCCCGGGTACGGGTGCGAGACGTGCCGAAAAAGCGGGATAGGTGTCCCGCTTTCCGGGCAGGTTTTTCTTTGTTTCTGCCAAGAATCCTGAATGTTTCCATACAATCACTACAAAAAACTGCGTTTTGGGACTACTTGTGAACTGCATTAGAGAACTCAAGGGCAAGTTCCTTTACTGGGCATGTGTGTGTTCACAGATCATCTGACAAGTCTGTCAACCCAACTCGCAACTCACGGAACGTGCTGTTTTGTTTATTGGTTAATAGCTGACCTTGTGAGTCTGTTACTGTTAGAATATCATTGATTCTTATTCCTCAAAAGGAAGTAATACTCAAAAACAGGCTTTCAAATTCAGGAATAGGTGGCCAGAATTTCCGTATATTAAAAGGGGAAGAAATGAACATCAAATACTTTGTAGTGTTTGCAAGAGAGACTAATACATACGATTGATTCAATAACTGTATAATACCATATTATAATGGAAAAATAAGGAAATTACCTGGATCACCAGAAAACGTAAAGGAAATTGGTTCCAGAAACATATTAGTCACCCTGTTATTCCTGAAAGGGTCCAATGTAATTCATCTTAATCTACTAATTAGTTGTTTACTAGTTACACGATTTCCTTATAATATGATTTCCTAGATACATTGTTTAAAAATAAACACTATGCTCTGAAATTCATTTCTGATGTCCTGAATTGCATTGTTATGCGTAGCCCCGGGCGAGGGCGACGGGTACGGCGACGGCGACGCGGAGGGCGAGGGCGAGGGCGAGGGCGAGGGCTGGGGCGCGGGCGGCGCGTGGACGGTGGCGGACGTGACCGCCCCCGACGCCGACGCCGCGCCGCCCACGCGCCTGCTGGGCTCGGTGTTCGTGGTGCCCGAGCGCGACCAGATCCTGTGGCGCGCCGACGACCCGGCGCTCGACGCGCTGCCCTGGGACGACACGCCCGCCGGTCAGCCCCGTCCACCCCCCTTCAACAAGCGAATCGAGTTTCAATGCTTATTTACACACCGCATAAGGGTTCTAATGATCGAGCGGCGACAAAATGCGCGAGCAGTTGCGTAACGTAATGAATACGGGCCCGCCCGCAAAACTTTTATCCGGGATTCCCCTTATAAAAGTGAATGGTAAACACAAGAAGTGTTAGTGTCTTAAATAATAAAGGATATCCTCTAAAAATAGGCCCTCTCTTACCAGGGACCGCCCGCATTGCCAGCCCAAACGTTTCGCCATTGTGCGCGAGAGCATATCGGCCGATATCATTAGAACCAGTTAACGCCCGTGGTGCATAAAGATTGTTTACTTAATTTTAATGATTTAGATTTTCCTCTTCCTTGTTCGATCCCCACTCCTATCTTACACACCCTTACACTTACATTCACGAGACTATTGCACTTCGACCGGGGGCTAAGAGCGTGTCGCGGCTGGGACGGTGCCCCGGTGGGAGATACCTAATTGGGGAAAACCCCGGTAGGTCAGCGCCGGATCTCATCATTCGGCGGTGGAAGTTCACCGCCACCTCCCGCAATAAAACCTTGCATTATGCTTACGGAACTAATGCCTTTAGCAGTTGACACGCTCGGAATCGCTAAACACTCAATAAATCAAAACGAATAATACGTAATGAATGAAATGTCTCAGGCCCCGGCTCCGCCACCCAGTCCACCATGCACAAGATGGGCTGCATGTTCCTGATCCCGGAGGGCGCCCGCGCGTCCTCCGCCCTCGAGGCGGCGGCCGCGTCAGCCGAGGCGGTCAAGGCCAGCTGGACCAACGTGTTCACGGCCGGGAAGGTGCTGCACGAGTCCACCAACGCCATCGACGACCTGGTGACGCTGCTGCTCAACAGCGTGACACGCTTCCGCGACGCGCCCCTGCCGCGGCCCCCTCGCGGCGCGGGGGCGGACGAGGAGGGGGAGGCCGCGGACAAGGAGGGGGAGGAGGAGGAGGAGGCGGGCGCGTACACCACGCTCAGGGGCGAGCGCGTGCCCTCGGAGAGGCTGTCGCGCACGGCCGCCACCGCTGACGTCACGGCCACGGCGTCGCGCCTGCACGCGGACGCGCACGGCACAGGTGCTGCTCGCGATTCATTCAACAGGATAAGGATAAGAACAATAGAGTTATTGCAAGACTAGGTATCTAATGTCGTAGTTTATAATCACTGTCGTCAGTAGGAAATTACGTATCTTCAGAAAATGAGTTTTGCAAGTCGTACAATCGAATACATGCTACGTAACTCTACTAACTAGTTGGAATTGATAGTACATAAACGCTTTTTTAAACATATTTGTACCTTGTGACTATTTTTCTTTTATTAAGGATTACGAGATAGTAATACATATAATGCATGGTCATCGATTGTATCATACGAATATATACGTAAAATACGTAAAATACATGTCAAGAAAAATATAGCTTTCTAAATAGCGTAGAATGAATCCACACAATTTTACTATAACATATTAATATTGTTTATATTAGGAATGGTAAATTATATCGCCCTCTAGACAAACTAATACATTTTTCGTGACAATCGATGTAGTCTCAATATTCACATTATCTCCAAATTCTAAACAAATACATTAGTTTATTTCTGACACACTTGAATTATCTAGAGTAAAAATAAACCATAAACTTCCTGACATGTAATGACTCTATGGATATTGTACTTTTCATTACTTCCATGCTTTTTGTGTATTACTGTCGAATTCGTGTTTAATAGTGGCAACAAAAACTACGTAAGCTCTCACAGCTGTGTCGTGGTGTCGTAAACAACAAAATAAGCAGAATGACGGGACTCGTCAATCGAAATCCCGTGACTGGATTCCGGGACATGCGCAGTAGATTCTCTCCAGACTGATCGTGTTACGTATTTCGAATTCATGACTTGCAAAATCGCTTTAATAACTAGTTGGAAACCCCTCAAAACTGTGACGGTTTATAAACACTTGTGGGGCATCGCATTTAAAACACTTATTGATTTTCTCACATAAAATCCAACTTCCTTGTTTCAGATTGCTTTCTTTATATCGGCTACTTCCACAACCAAATGAAGTAATAAAAAAGTGAAAGCACATAAGCATTCATACTAACCTAAGATCTTCAGATGGCATATAATATTCTGTGACAGAGAAGGGTTACGAAGAGAAATAATTATTCAGATAACCTTCTACACGATGAACAATAGCTAATTTCTCATTAAACAGAAAGCATACTTAATTAGTCTATCTAACCAAAATGAATCATCTCGCGGTTTATTGCTAACTAGTAAAAATAGACATCTATATCCCGAAATTCTACTCTTCCACTCTCATTTTACATTTGCCAATCCGGAGAAGCTCAAGGAGTCGTAATTTGTCAACTCCAATCTCTGGTTCGCTAAGACGCGCGAAGACGTTTTCTCTCTCCTCCAGAAACCAGAAAGTGGAAAACGTTTAAATTAATTTCGATATATACATCAGCACGAAATGAAACACGTTTAAGCCTATTTAACGTAAACAAAAATGTATCAACATCACAATCTAAGCAGGTGCGCGTAAGTATAAAACAACCAAAATGGCAGCAGGGCCAGCAGGGAATGTGCTACATGCATATGCAGTAGAGAGAGAAATGCTCCACTACTACACTTCAGCGTCAGTCGCGAATTATTCACATAAAGAATATTCCATATCTCTTTTCGGGGTAACATCAAACAAAAATATTATTTAAAATTGTCCTAGATAAGAGACATGGCTCACAGACGCTGCACGTGGTCAGTGCACTTCAAAATTCGCTGACGGCTTATTGTGCAATGTGTCTGGACTCGAAGGCACAAAGACACGTTATTGATCAGCAAAGTCATGTTGTGCACAGGATGGAGGATTAACATTTTATTAAGGGATTGGAAAAGCATCACTCACAGTTAAATAAGTATTGGAAGGTACCTACTTTTCAAAAGTCCCATGCACCGTGCACCATTTTCCAAGCTCGCGCCCAGAAAGGTCATCTTCTCTCGCCGGGACCAGACTTCAACCTTCCGATGGTCACACCGAACTTCGACTAATCTCAACTGCTTCTCGTACAACCTCTTTCCCACCCCTAACATCCCTCTTTTGTGTTTCCGCGGCGAGGAGTACGTCCGTTGAGCTGTCGCCCTTTCCGTTAGCAAGGAGAGCATCCGCCGACTGGTTGGGGAATTTGGGTTGTATACGACGCTTCTGAAACTAGAAACATTCAATTTGGAATGTAGGATCCTATGACGATGCATTGCAAGTTCATTGTTGTTTTCAAATTGCATTCCGTGAAATGGAGAAATAGAGTTATATTAATGAAAGTCTGCCGCATTTGCACATTAATACTTACATTAATATTTACAGTTGCCCGTAGCAAAATTGTGATAGGGACATGTTAGAGCAGACGGTAGAGAGCGAGGGTGGTGCAGAATTGCAACTTATCGTTTGAATGTAACTCAATGATTCAAGCAACAGATATACCCATTCAAATGTACAATTAATGTCATATTGTATGTACAAATATGTTAGTTAATGATACAAATATGTTAGTTAATGATACAAATTCGCATGATTTGTGTTTCCGAAAGCAACGAACCATCGTTGATAAGGTTCGATGACAAATATTAATATGTTTCAAACACAATATTTTTCGCCAAACACATAATTTTGATATACAACTCTTCGCCATTTTGCCTGTGATGTAAGTGGTATTTCTTTTTATGTTTTATTCCCAAGAAATTATGATACGCAACAAGTTTTATGTGATTTGCTGTACGCCAATGGTGCCGTATTTGAGATTTCCGGTACATGAAGTTTTGGATTTGGTTAATCCAATGTGATACAGTCACTGAATTTAATACATAACATACCTAAAATGATAAAGCAATCCTATCGGTCTAATAGGAAATATTGAATAGTTTGTGGTGTACCTCCGCGAGCACGGCGGGCGAGCCTGCCATAATCGCGTTATCGCCGTTGGCCGACGCTTGGTGAAATCTACGGCCTCAGTCTGCGAGTTGGCGACCTCAATGTCGCTGACAGCCTAAGGAAGTGGTTAAGTTGGACTGTGACGGGCAAATAGGAGCTCAGAAAGAAACTTACAAGTTTAACAGACAACATACAAACCAATGTTTCTTCCTCTTCTTCACCCAGCGCTAAAGGTCGATTTGAGCTTTGGCCTTGACAAACAGATTTCCATCGATCTTGACGTTGGGAAGTCGATCTCCTTCCACGATTTTGTTATGAGAAACATTACGTACGACACTGTCCAATTGTAGAAGTAATACCAACCTGTCCACATTAGAAGCTGTTGTCTAAAACAGGCCCGTCACACCGCGCCCGCACGAGCTACTTGCCCGCCTGGATAGCCCGTCGTCTTAAGAGCACGGACAACTTCTCCTCACTCCGCACTCATTTCCCCTTAAAATTCAGTAAGGGGTGTACATGCGCAAGCCGAAGCTGTGCGAGGCGGTGAATAGTGGCTTCATACAAAATATTTTTCCAAGAAATTTTTTTATCAAATAACCGAGCATTGTATGTTTATATTCTTCACTACTTCTTACTATTTGATGTTTATTTTATTACTAAATTCTCCCTTGTATAGACATCTTTGCTAAGTGATCGGATTATGTTTGAATGGTGAATTCGCTCAGTTTTCGCTTTGTGTTGTGTTATTAAATCATTAGCTTATTTACTGTATTTAACAATAAGGTGACATAAATTAACATGTATCTATAAGTTAACAATTCTCGCTTACAGACGGATAGCGCTTTTAACAGACAAGAATATTTGTCTTTTAAACCTTCTAATCTGAACGTAGAAAGTTCATAAGCTTTATTATCACTCTTAGAGTAAATAGGATTCCAAAATCATGATAGTTATGATCCGAATTTTTAAAATTTTACTCTCAATTAAGGATTTGAAATCACACTGATGCGTTATTTCATTTTAATGGATCATTTATTTGCCTTAAAGAGAAAATAGTAATCAAATAGCTAAATTTGTGACAATAACTGTGAAATAACTTCTCCCAAAGCCTGTCGTGGGCCAGGTATGCAGTGACGGACCGCCATTCCGCGTCATTTGCACAGCCCTTACTTCTAAATATTGTAACAATTTATCTGGCCGCGAGCTCTAGCAAACTTGATACTTTGCCCGCGATCTCGGCATGCCTGGTGTAAACTGATTCAGTTAGCAACTACGTACCTACGTGACCTACAATTTTTTCCATTAGCTCTCATTAAAAATAAAAACTTGATGAAATGTGGATGAAGAATTATGTATGAGTCTGGCTGAAACATTTCCCGTATTAAACATTTGTGCCAAAGTAAACAAATCTACATATTTTCCCCAACATTATGAAAATATAATAGGTCAGTGGTACAATGTTGTGAAGTTTCAAAGTTTAACGTGCTCATATTTTCCTTTTTGCGGCGAACTGCTGTGCCGCTGTCACACTTGGGGAGAACGCCTGTGATTGTGATGGTTTGGGCGACGCAGGCGGAGGCAGTGCTGACGGAGGCGGAGGCGGAAGCGAGGAGGGCGAGAGCCACCCCCTTCCGGTGCAGCGCGTCAGCTCCTGCGTGCTCATCGCGCCCAAGGCCCCGCCCCCTGCCCCCCGCAAGCGGTCAGTCGCTGCTCTCCCCGCACACGCCTCCTTCCTCAAAAGTGAAACATCACAATTGAAGGGCGGACACAGCCAGCTCTCGCTATTCGTCAGTGTTAATACCTCGATTCTGGTAAAAGTGTGTCATGTAGTTACTGCGCCAAGACACGTATAAATATCAACAAGTCATATGAGGTGCTGAGGATTAGGTAATGCTAAGTCACCTGAAGTGATTTTTACAGAAAAATCAATTGAATGTTAAAAGAATTCTGTAAGTCAGATGAAAAATCTAAAAAAAGCCTATTAATTGTCTTAAAAAGGGATGCATTGCATTACACTACTTCGTCAATGACTTGCCAACCTCTAAAGGAAACGAAAAATGTAAACACGTACATTTTTGTTGCTGAGTGGCTTACCATTGCCTAATAGCCAGCTTGTCAATGAGTTATTAGAAAAGTCGCATTTTCACCATTATAGAGATGTTCACATTTACAATGGTAGGTGTGGCCTATGTTATCACTGCCTGAAGCCCTTCAATTGTGAAATTACTATTGTTATGTAGAAATAAGAACGACGTCGAAACGTCCTCGGAGGTGATCTTGAACCGTATAAATCTTCAACAAACGAGGTGTGTTGCTGGAGGAATTTCGCGCCTACACCAGCAACGCTAGGTCGCTAAGCACCCTAACGCTCAGATTTTCCTCTCGTGAGTTGGTGGCACATTTGAGTATGATAAGCCTCCATATGTCGCGACATTTTTACCCAAGAACTTACTTTTCTCAATTCAATTACTATGAGAATTTTTCGAATTCTCCAAATTTTTATTGAATTCATTTATTTTACTAACTAATCTGTTTATATATTTCTTTCAATTTGATATGTTAATGCTATAATTAAACAATTGAATATAAAACATCTAAAATATTTTATAAATCATTCTATTAGAACTATTTTCTACAACTGAAGTTTGGATTTAAACTTGGAGAATTAAAATATACCATAGAGACAAAACGTTGTACATGACTTAATATGATTTTAACTATAATGAATTTTATAGAATAGTCTTGACATGGTCCTAATCATCGTAGGTATTAATTTAATCGCATTAAAATATTAGTTTAAAAATCATAATTGCCACTTGTATTAAATAATTTAATATATAATATATTGAGTTGCAACATATAATAGTATAATTGTTTAAATATATCTTTTAATCCTTACATTTTCAAAGATGGTCATGGCACTCCTCTGGAGACCCTCAAACAAAGAAAATGAAACGTTCACGATTCTGTCACGTCAGGGTCCAGGGATATTTAATAATAGTTCAAGAGAATGTTCAATACGAGTTTACTTCTCTTGCGTTCTCGAGATTATTTTTCCTTCTCACTTTCATTTTACAAAATTTTCAGTTGGTATGCATTTTAGATATACTAAAACACATCTTGTGACTTGTTAATAAGCATTTCATAAACGTAAGCTCCAAATTTTCCCATCCAATTGCCGGTCGCTACTGTAACTAGTGCAGTGATTGTATCGGCATGCAAAAGTAGAGGGCCGAGGAGCTGGTGACCGCCCTCCATCATTCCGCAAATGGCCTGTTGCGACGGCCAGGTCTCTTCCCCCATCTTTTGGAACGCGCTTCGAAAACCAAGTAATCAACATGGGAGATCCGTAGACGAATGATTATCCGGTCGCAAACTTCGACGACCGTCACGTAAAAGCTCTCGGTTGACCTGGTGGCGCCGCGTCACTCAGAAGTCTGCGTTGCCGACCATCTTGGCACACCTTAGCCCTGAAGAAGACCACTACAGTTGGTCAAAACTTCCGCAAGATAGCATTAGACGCGGCGTCACCCGAACAGCTCAGAGCATTCACTTTCATATTGTCAAAGAGATTCACGATGGTACGTGGCAAGTTTTCTCGGCTGGTTGCTCTTCGTTGAGCTCTTGATCCTTCCTCTTTGCACATGCCCCGTTTTGTGTTGCCCTCTAGGCCCCACTCGTGCCCCGGCGGCCGGCCCTGGACTTCATCGACCACGCAGCAAACCTTCACCGTGCTCACGGAGGTGAGGCATCAAGCACATCTCCGCACAGATAGATCACACAAGTCATCTTTTGCATATTTAGACAATATCATTAGTATCGTCAGTCCTTCACTTCCAAATCCTTCACTTTGGAACAGTTAAGTTTCAAATCAATGTCCAGTGTAGCTCAGAAATAAATAATCCAAAGCACGCTCTTCCTTCAGAATCAGACATTTTTTTCTTTTAATTTCATTTTTACTTTAAATTATGAATTTGTTCTATATTTCAATAATTTAATACTTTAACTTGTGCAAGCCATATTTTTTTCTATTATTCGCTGCAGGAGTACATACTTTGCGGTTTCAGTGGCATTGGATGTGCAAATACTATGAATAAGTTACAGATGTATTCGCAGTAAAAACAAAAATCCGTGAGGCGTAGGGAAAGCGTCTAATTTAACTCCCCACTTCTCACTGCCCATCAACGAACTGAATAGTTGATGCGCAAGAGCAAGATCGACTGGGGCTATACATCAGCTAACTGACGTCACACGACTAGCAGCCTAAGCTAGTGAAGCAATCGTACTCTAAAACCATCAATCGTCACTACTAACGAACACATAGCGAAATTTTCTTGAACGGCGGAGGGGAAGTTATGCATGGCCACCCTGCGGCTGTCCATGGTTCTGGAGAGGGTGAATCTGTCAATGAAAACTCAGCGTTACTATATGATTAACTCATTTTTCTACGTTATTCAGGTCTAAATTTTAACTAATAAACAAATGGTAAAAATGTGAATGGTGAACCCTTGCTGATAGTGACTGGATTACATAAGATAATTTGCTAGAATAAAACAGGAATACAAAGAAATAATAACAAGAACGTACAAAAAAATTACATTGTCAAATTCGTTTCGCACAACTTTCCCAATTGGTAGGAAATGAAAGGGAAAAGGAACAATTTCCCAGCACTCCTCACAGATATATTTCCGAGAGCCTCGACTGGCTGCGTGTGCGTGTGCGCAGGTGAAGGCGCGGCCGACAACGGTCGGACACCGGCGCGCGCCCTCCGCTGCCCCGGGCGCCGCCCGCGCCGCCGCCCGCAGCCCCGCCGCCGCCTGGGACCTCACGGGTGCGCAGCACGGCCTCCTACTTTGCAACTTAGAACATCATCACCGGCAAAGCTGGGGGCTTAGGACATCAACTGATGTCACTGCAGTGTCGCTGACCGTGAGGTCCTAGGATTCGACTCCCGACGGTGGCACGATTTTCGGCATTTTCTTGTCAGCTAGGTCGAATTCAACTGCTGGCGAAGAATTCGAGCAGCCCGGGT